TGATTTCAAATTTTTTGTCACATCAGCCTGGACGATAATTATATCGTCTTGGCCGATCTGCTCATCATTCTTCAAAAACTGAATCAATTGAATTTATTATTTTTGGGCATTCTCTGATCATCTCCATCCTTCCTCTAATTTCAATTTTTTTGTCCCATCAGCCTGGATGATATTTATATCATCCTGGATGATCCATTATTATTCTGGATGATATGATCGTCCTCTGCTACAATCATCTTGATCATCCTGGCTGATACATTTTTCATCCCGAATGATGCATTTATTGGTAATTGTCCCGTCCAATACACCTGTTCATCCTGGACGATACACATGTCAGCACGTTTAATATCTATAAATTAGCCCGGGATGATCCATTTTTAGACAATCGGCCCGGACGATCCACCTATTTGGCCCGACCGATACACGTGGCCCTTGATTTAAATGCTTTAAATTTGGCCGGCATGATCCACTATTGGATATCATCCTGAACGATTCATCAAATTAGCTTGGATGATATGCTTTTTCAATGATCATTCGGCATGATTCCTCGGGATGGTCGCCTGTGTCTAATCATCCCGGCCAATATCGGATCGGCCCGGACGATCGGTCCACCTTTTTGACCAATCAGCCTGTACACAATAATTAAACCATATCAGCCTAGATGATCATGCGATTGGCCTGTATGATTTGGCCGATCCGTTAAGTTCAGAGCCTTCCAGCCATTTTCTTCACTCAAGCTTTCTTAAACTCCTTGTATTCTTGCTTTAGTGCTCTACTTTCTGAAAATGACAGGAGGGAAATGCTTTTGTCACAAATCCAGAAGTTCCTCGAGGGCCATCTAGACCCTCGTTTCCAAGAGGTGGATGCCCAAGCCGCTTACCAATGCTACAAGGAGGCTGGAATCACAGTCTCCTGGATCGTTAATCCAGATTATCTCTCTTATCCGGTACTCAAGTTATTTGCTCATACCTCCTTGTGCTTTCTATTGACTCTGGCTATCCCCTTCAATTCTGTACTTGTGTATGAATTCTTTGCAAGCCTTAGAATTAATTCTTCCTACACTACTCTTGCCTTATATGTGAATCGATGCCCCGTCGAGATCATATATCAGGATTGCCAAGAACTTCTATAACTTTCCACCACAGGGGAAAAACTCTATACCATGTGCTCTAATTCTAATTTTGACTGGGCTCTGGCCAATCACTTCCTTCAGAACACCATATCACACTTTCATATTGGAGAGACTAGCTCTTTACTCAAAGACGCTAAGATTGTTCAACATGTCCTTCGCACCTCTATAATCCTAAAAGCTGGTGATCGTGTCCATATTACTCTTCTTTCAATCACCACTTTTTACATTCTAGCCCATCACAAATTCAACGCAACCGACCTGATCTTTCGCTACATCGGTCACTTGACTATAATTCAAGATCCAGGTCATAGGAGGAAACCAAATCTTGTCCTAGAACATATCATTGCATATGTTCTAGAAAAAAAATATAACCTCTAATATCTTGCTCCACCATATCTCCTAACTGCTTTCTACTCCAACATTTCCTTTCAAACTCTTTACAGTACTCATCTCCACCTGAGGGAAGGGGAAGCTCAGGTAGGGGAAGAGGAGGCTCCTTCACCTGCTCCTATACCTATTCTTGCACCTATCTCGCTCTGCCAGCACTCTCAGCTGGATCAGTTGGTGGAGCACTTTGACCAATGGGAGGCCTGATTTAACACTTACATTGCTGTACAGGAGCAGCAATAAGCTGAGGACATAGCCCGCTATAAGCAGCACCAAATGGAGGAGTTAGCCCTTTTTGAAGCATACGTTGCTCACCAACAGCAGTAGCATGACTAGGACATAGCCTAGTTTGGTGCTCAGTTTACTACACTGGCTAGTTACTTTCAGCAGCCTCCGCCACCACCTCCTCCACCTTCAGATGATTAGGGCCCATTATTTTTCTTGTCTTTCTTTTGTTGTAGTTTATTTCTATTTTTTTATTTTTGTATTCAATTTTACTTTTCATCCTCCTTTTTGTGATGTCAAAAGGGGGAGTGATCCACTAAACTACTAGTTGCTTTGTACTTTGATTCTGCTTGTTACTTTGTACTTTGATTGTGTTCTTTTCTTTCACACTATCTTCATTAAACTGACTGAACTCTTGATAATTTTTCTTGTTTGTTTGCCATTATCAAAAAGGGGGAGATTATTGCGTATCTATTTTTCAGAAATTAAATTTTGATGATTGCAAACACTTCTGTTTTACATCGACTGCCTTGCCTACTAACATTTCAGGACCACAGGATCAAGACTGCAAGTTGAATCAGCTCAAGATTATGTAGATTATGTTTGAGTCAGTCTGTAATGTACTTTTTCCCTTTCTTGAGTCAAATGTAATCCTTATGGTGCCTGATGCTAAGTAATCTTGCACACACACACCTGAGTGAATTTTTTCTTTCTAAACTTAGAGTTCTCTATTTTGAGTACATCAACTAGGATGATCCAAATATTATCCCGGACAATCCTTTAAAGATAAAAACCCTGATTAGGGCATCCTGATTAAGTTATCCGTCATTGAGCCTATCGTCTTGGACAATATTGTATCAGCCGGGACGATAGTCTCAAATCAGAAAGAATCAGCTGCCATAATCTATTTAGGTATTCTTTATTTTAAGGACATTGTCCAGGATGATATCCTATCAGCCTAGACGATATGTTAAAATTATGCCTAAATTAATTTGATAATTATGGAAAGTAATTAAGGCTGATTGTATGATCACATCGGCCAGGTCGATCGTAGGATCAACTGGGACGATGGCGTGGATGACTGACATCGGCCTACATCAATTCAAGGCGATGTTCAGGATGATTTGTTTTAGATTTGAACTAATCAGACAGGATGATATCCTGTCAGCTTGGACGATGTAACCAAAATTAATTTAATCATCCCAAACTGACCCGGATGATTGAGCAAAATTTATGCTGATCGGTCAGGTTGATACCCATATCATCCGGGACGATAAAGTTGATTTTTATACAATATGAGCTATTCCGAAGTTCTTCTATTTAAGAGATCTCATTCTTCACTTTGTAAGACCTTTAGCTGCTGTCTTGACCTAAGAGAGCCAAGGGAGAGGGAGAGAGAGGGAGAGAGAGGGAGGAACTTGTGAGGGGGAGTTTATGAGAGGGATTCACAAAGGTTGATCCAATAAAGGTTCCAAGGTGTCTTTTCCAGTCTTCGTCCATCATCCTTGGGGGTTCAAAGGAGGTCTTCTTCAATAATTGGTCGAGGTTCTCTGCTTGCTTCAGGAGGAATCAAAAGGAGTTGGGTTCTCACCCTTGCCAGAGTTAGTGAAAAGGAGTTTTTGTGAGGGCTTCTCTGCCTTGCTGTGGGAGCAAAAGAAGAGTCACTTTTGTAGTGCAATACCCGGAGGTTGCCCCCGGGGAGTGGACGCAGGTCAAGTTGACCGAATCACTATAAATTCTCTGTGTTCTTTTCTTGTTACGTTTCACATTGATTTTTTCACACGTTGATTTATTTGTGGTGATATTGGTTTGGTTTTATATTTTGTGCTTTGCTTAAGAAAATTTTTAAAATATCAATGCACCCCCCCTCCCTCTTGGCTAGCCTCGGGCTAGTTCTTAAGGGCTTAACATCCCTAATGAACTTTCAGAAATGATATCACTCATAATAACACTTTTCATCATTAAATAAAAACTAAACAACAAACAGAATCACAATACTCGTAGATGAAAAAACAACATAAGATCAATCATAAAAGCTTAGAAGAAAGATTAACAATGAAGTACACCGAGCTAGAATTTGGATGGGCCCTGATATGGATGAGGAGGCTGATTGAACACTGAAAAATAGTTATTCATTATAGCTAAATTCATATTGATCGTGTTGAACTGACCACATATCTTACCCATGTCCTCCTAATATCTTGCATCCTATTGATTTAGGTGAGTCTCAATTTGATCAAAGTATTGATCAAAATGAGTATCCAAATAATGATATTGATGAAATATTTCTTGAAAGTAATTTTGGTTGGATCCATGTGCAAGTGCAGGTGCTCCCCCTTCTTCATCAAAATTATCACCAGAACTCTGATCTCTCCCAAATAGTGATAAAAAAGAAGCATCAATAAGTAAATTGGTTGTTAAGTGGGAGGATAAGGATGAACAAGATTATGCTTCTTATGAAGAATATAAGACATAAGATGTCCTAAAGTTACATTTTTCTTACTCTTATAGTGTCGAAGTCCAATTTCGAAAAGGTTGTACAGGTAGTCCATAATAAGTTGGGCTCTATTAAAGGGATTTTCAGTCGTAATAAGATAAGTGACTGTGGACAAGAGTGGAGTCATATTTATTCAATCACCAGCTTTAGGAATAATTGAAGTTTTTAAAACATGCTGGATGATCCGGGCATTTTGGTTCAAGGTATAGACTCGATCTAAATGATTAAATTAGGAGACACCTATAAGAACTTTATTAATTTTGGACCAGTCAAAATCAGCTCTAGAGGTCAAAGTGTGTGCTTGAATCCCTTTGGTTCTCAAATGAAGAAAGTTGCCTAAATCTTCCTTGGTTATTTCTATATGTTCTTTTTGGACATAGGAACTTATTTAGAGTGGCCCTCACTTACTCTCATGTTGGCCAAAAAATTTTGAAAAGTTCCTTTATGGTAGGAATAAATTAGTGTGAGAATGAAAGATAGTTGAGTAGAGGAAAATAAAGGCATTACAAAGAAGTGAATATCATCCTGGATTAGAAGTCTAGAAGGTTGGATCTTGGCAGCAACATACCTAAAATAGGCATCATCATACTTTTTAAATAGGAAGTAAGAATTTACAACACTTCCAAAAGAAGAACCTGTTAGGAAAGTTGCTATTTGCATGTTTTACATTCTTGCAACTTATATAGTTTTGATGATTCCAAACATTATTGTTCAAATGTGTAGTTATCTCCTAACATTTTTTGGAAGAATTGTATTTGCTGCAGGACACGTGGAAACAGATTATTGGATACATCTAAATAACAGTAGATTAATATATTCTTTGTTCTTAACATCCCCCCTCAAACTGAGTATAGGAGCAGATAGTCAGTTTGTTGCGAAGAAGTTTAAACCGAGGGGTAGACAGTGGTTTAGTAAGAATATCCGCAACTTGATCCACTGTACTTATTGGTAGTAGACGAATGACCTTATTCATAATGTGATCCCGTATAAAGCGTTGATCAATCTCAATGTGCTTGGTGCGAGCGTGGAAAACGGGATTATTAGCAAGAGCAATTGTAGATGTATTATCACAGAATACATCCACGGGTTCAGAGTGAACGATCCGAAATTCAGCCAGCAAGCGTTTGATCCAGATGGTGTCAGCAGTAGCGGAGGCTAAGGCTCGGTATTCTGATTCTGTGGACGACCGGGATACCGTATTCTGTTTCTTGACAGTCCAGGAGACAAGTGTATCGCCAAGGAAAGTACAAAAGCCGGACGTAGATCTTCGGGTTGCCGGATCTGAAGCCCAGTCAGCATCCGAGTATGTACGCAGAAGAAGATTGGATTTGGTGATTGGTAGACCGAAATCCAAAGAGCCCTGAATATAGCGGAGTAACTTCTTGAGCCTGACCGTGTGTATGGGTTCCGGATTGTGCATATGCTGAGAGAGCGTGTTAACTGCGTAGGCAATGTCCGGCCTTGTCAATGTAAGATACTGGAGGCTGCCGATGATCCGCCTGTACAGGATTGCATCAAAAAATGGTGGATCGTCTGGTTTTACAGCTGTAATTTTTGTGATAGAAGGATTAGCGACCGGATTACAGTTCGGTAACCCAGCCATTTGTAAAATAGATTGAGCGTATAAACATTGAGAAAGAAAATACTTATCATGTGTGTAGTCAATCTTAATGCCGAGAAACTGGTTAGCCACACCGAGATGCTTCATCGTGAATTTCTCCTCGAGTTTGACGACGAGTGCCGTCATAGCTTGGGCATTGTTGCCAGTGAGAAGAATGTCATCTACGTATACCAGTAGATAAAGGTGCGTGTTGCCGTCGTGAAATAGGAGGAGAGATGGATCTGCCTGACTGTGCGAGAACCCGATTTCACGAAGGTAAGAGGTAAAGGTAGTGTACCATTGGCGCGGAGCTTGACGCAAGCCGTAGATAGCTTTGTGGAGATGGCAGACGTGTAAAGGATTCGTAGCATCTTCAAACCCTTTAGGCTGCTGCATATAGATAGTTTCGGTGATGTCTCCGTGCAAGAAAGCATTAGCTACGTCTAATTGTTGAATTTGCCATTGGTGAAATAGAGCAATGGTAAAGAGAATGCGGATAGTAGGAAGTTTGGCAACAGGGCTGAATGTGTCCTGATAGTTAATGCCATACTCCTGCTGATTTCCTTGAGCTACCAACCGCGCCTTGAATCTGGCAATTGAACCATCTGAATTGTATTTTGTGCGATAGGTCCATTTTGAGCCAAGAACAGGTGCATTTGTCGGAGGCGGTACTAAAGTCCAAGTGCCCTGTTTTTGAAGAGCAAAAAATTCCTGAGCCATTGCTTGACGCCACTCAAACTGTTTGGAAGCTTCACTGTACGTGGTTGGATCGCTGAGAGCTTGATTGTGATGGAGTAAATTGAGACGCTGAACGGGTTTGAGAGACCCTGTCTTCGATCTTGTAGTCATCTGGTGCGGTATAGGATGGGGAACGGGTGATATAGCCGTGTCCTGAAGGGTAGATAGCTGAGGTTGACGCTCCAATGAAATAGATGAATTGCTTGTGCCTGGTAGTGCAGATCCAAGATTGTGGACCTGCTTGTTGCTTTGATGCGAAATGGAGTGAGGTATAAGCAGAGAAGTGGGCGGTGGAGGTCCAGTTGAAGTAGTGTTGGAATGACTGTCATTATAAGGAAAAAATGATTCGTTAAATTGAACATTTCGAGAAACAATGATTTTATTAGTGAGCGGATTAAAACATCGATAGCCTTTAGAAACATCCGAGTAACCAAGAAATATGCATGGCTGAGATGTTGGCATCAGCTTGTGACGGTGCACCGACGGGATTAGAGGAAAGAATTGACAACCAAACACACGAAAATGTTCATAGGAGGGTGTTATATTGAACATTCTTGTGAGCGGAGTCAAGTTCTTGATAGTCAGGGACGGCATGCGATTGATTAAGTAAACGGCCGTTTGTGCTGCCTCAAGCCAGAACTGCATTGGAAGAGCGGCCGTCTGAAGAAGAGTTCGAGTAGTAGAAATAATATGCCTATGCTTTCTTTCCGCAATGCCATTTTGTTGAGGTGTGTACGCACAGGAGTATTGATGTCGGATCCCTGCATTCTTAGTGAAATCGTGAAATAGATGGTTCACAAACTCACCTCCACCATCAGTGCGAATAGTTTTAAGTTTGAGCGAAGTTTGACGTTCAATGAATTTAGTGAAATTAATAAACGTGTTAGTAACATCAGATTTATGCAAAATAGGAAATAACCAGGTAAAGCGAGAGAAATCATCAACAAAAATGACGTAATATCTAAATCCTTGGTGAGACTGAGCCGGAGAAGGACCCCAGACGTCAGAGTGAACAAGTTCTAAGGGAGAACTCGTTCGACTCAGCGAACGGTCGAATACAAGTTTTTGACCTTTACACGACATACAAGAATTACAAACAGATTTAAGCGGTAAGATGCGTAAAGTAGGATTGTAATTGGAAATGTGTTGTAGAACATTGTGATGAGGATGTCCAAGTCTGAAATGCCAGTTGACAGATGAGGCATTGGATGCTCGCAGCGCTGTCGCCGGTGTCCGAGACGCAGTAGAAGGGATCTTGTAGACACCTTTGCTGCACGGACCTTCAAGGATAACCTGATTTGTCTTCCGGTCCTTAAATACAAAACCATGCTCATCAAACGTTATCGAGATAGGATTGTCCCGAACCAAATTAGAAATAGAAAGAAGATTGTAGGAAAGAGAAGGAATATGTAAGAGTTTCGAGAGAAAGAACTTACTGGCCGGGGTAGGAAGAATGCCCGAGCCCGCGTGAGCTATTGGGACAGACCTTCCATCCCCAAGTGTTACCGTTTCGTTGCCATTGTAGGGAGTGTAGAATTCTAGATTTTCAGTGGTATTCGTCATGTGAGACGATGCCCCGGAATCAAGATACCAGTCAGCGGTAGAACCACCGTCATTAGAGAAAGAGAGATAGAGCAACACAGTAAATGAAGAAGAAAAGGAAATGTATTATTATGTTTTTCATACATCACAACGTTCCCCTGTACACATATATATAGCACCTTAATAATGTGATGCAGGACACGTGGAAACAGATTATTGGATACATCTAAATAACAGTAGATTAATATATTCTTTGTTCTTAACAAAAATTAGTAGAACAAAAGCTAAGTATATGATGTCCAATAGCAATTATCATATAACTTTTTTAGAAGATAAAGTGATACGTAGATATGATAAGTTTAAGTATCGTTCATCTAATCATTAAAAGGAATAGATCTTTAGATAAGTATCCCAGAGTTAACGTTAGGAAGTTAAAAAGGAGAAGTGCCTTATGATTATTATGCAATAAAAGAATAACATGGAGATTTATGCACACTTAAAAAAGACAAATTTTATAAATAAGCAATTAAGCTGACAATGTTGTATGGATAGTTTAGCAATAAAATATTCATTGATAACTAAGTTGAGCATATAAAAATAAAAAATTTACAATATATTTGCAGAAAAATTAAAAAAATAAATCAAGAAGATATCATAATATTAGGAGAGCAACTGGAGTTAGAATTGCTGAATATATGATAACAAAAAATAGATTTAGGTGGTTTGGACAAAAAACAATGAAGAGTGGAAAATTAAAAAAATAAATCAAGAAGAATAGATAAATTTAAAAGTTAAGAGTATTAGGAAGGAGTTGCAAACCTAAGGTAGTATGCATATAAGTGGTTCAGAATGAATTGTAAAGAGTACACTTAATACTTAGTGGGCCGAATGGAAATTGAGGATTCATAAATCTAACCTTAAATAGTTGGGATAAGTCTAATGTTGATGATAATGATGCTGAACTTCATGCAATGTTCTTGTGATGGTTAAGGTATATTATCTTTAAAGATATTAAGCTTGAATATATGGCATATGAATGAAATGTAGAACATGTTCAATTACATTACCAAGCTGAGGGGAAAAGTCGATGTGACAGAAACTTTGGCACCTTTCCTGTTTTCCTCATATCTGTATACGGTAGTTTCTTTACCAAAACAATCTTCCATAGACCAATGTAGCCTTCATCATCAGGAACTTGACCTTCTAAGGAAAGTTTTCTCATTGTTAGCTCATCAAGGAACATCAGGAAGCATACATTTTTCTTCGAATATGTGCCAATCTGTGACAATAAAGAGAAGTAAAATCTGATTACAACCCAGATGAATAAAATCTAAAATAACTCATTCAGACAATAGGAACATGTACTGCAAATAATTTAGCCAAAAAAACAAGAGTTGCTCCAAAAAAGCTCTTGTTTGCCAAGAAATAGGATGGTCTTGGGGATCGAAGTAAAATACTACAATGAAACAAACAAATAAAATAGAAGCAACAGAAAGTAAAGGACACCAGAATTTAACATGAAAAAATCACGGTACCACACCACACCAAGAAATCCACTATAAACATTGGGAGAAATAAGTACATATCTCACTTCTTTCTCGCTCTCTTCTTGTTTCTCTACTCTCTTACACCGTTCTCACATACAAAGCACAAGAGAAAGTCAAGTAAATAATACCAAGGGACGCCGCCTTTTAGAAAAAATGAGAAAGAAAACTATTCAATCCGCCTCGAAGAGCTGCGGCTCTCAAGCCTCTGTCATCGATCCATCTGACGATGCTGCAGCACTGCGACGTCACATAACATTGCGGTGCTTTGCACTTTGTCGTCTCTCATAGCAACTCTACAGTGTCAAGGTGCTAGGGTATACAACCCCTAGGGCCTTGGATACACAGCGCCGGGGCGCTTGGGTACAAAGCGTCGATGCGTTGTACGAAAAAAAAAAATTCGTGTGCAGAGAACCTGAACCCAAGCAGGGGGAGGACCCCCCAACAAGCACGACAAATTGAATTGAGGTTTGACATAACTGTAGAATCTGATTGATTGACACAATCAGATTCCACACAGACTAACATATGGCAACATCAATGTTTCCGAGTTAAACTCAACCTGCATTTGTTTTGGAGAAGATATTCGTAACCACCGAAAGAATGCTTGGAGGCATTTTTTATGCGACTTTATCCAATTTATATGGAACCGGAAAATGTATCTAACAGTGGTTTGAGAGTGACATAAAATATAATTCCATATTGTCATTTTTAATCAGTCATTAATTTTTCATATTCAATAATTCAAAGTCAATCAATTCGTACTACATCAGCTAGGCCAACCATCACATGAGCAGCATATAAAAACAAATTAAATACAACCAACCACATTCAATATCATTACCATTGATGGAGATTTCCTTATGACAGTATCTTATGAAATAATTAAATTGAATCACATTCTGGGCAGAAAAATAGTACCAGCTTGCTTGTTGGCCTCCTCAAAAAATCAGAGCTACCAAAAATGCAAGATGATACAGCTACACGGCAACGAGCCATGTATTCCTTATCCTTCTCATTCACATCAAATCCAGTGCTAGGGTATCCCTCTGGTCCTTTGACAAATCCACAATGAAGTGTTTCGTTTCTTGCATAATATGAATTTTCACGTTCTTCCAGAGTCTGATGACCGCCAAATTTAGGCTGAAGCATAGAATTGTTAGAGTAATGTTGCTGCTCTTGAAGGACATAATCAAGTGAAAACTTTGTGAAATTCATGTAGTTCTCTGGCTGCAAAAGGTATTCAACTGATTTGGTTAAGCCAACTTCACATGGACCATCTGTTGAGGTTTTATAAATAAAAATAAGTAGCTTATAGTGTGAGATGAACAGATAAAAGAGAAAAAAATGAAAGAATAATGTCACTCGCCCAAATTCATTTGGTCCAGTTCACTTGTTGACATACAAAAACTCTTCTTGCTTCCATAAGTTAGCCGCAAAAGAGGTCCATCAAAAGAATGCCTATGATGAAATAACCATCTCAACGGACTAAATGGAAACTAATTATATTTTAAATGGCAGACAAACCATAGATTGTATTAACCACAACCTCCAAGGGCAACAAATCAATTTGGGCATTCCTCGCAACTATTACCCATTTATATTTTTCTACCATTTTTTTTTTATTTTTTGATATTTTAAAATATTTTTATAGTGGGATAAAGGCTTGATGTTGTTGTTGTTGTATATTTTAAAATATTTTTATGAGCAAGGAATGGGGACTTTATATGTCAATCCTTGTTAGAGTAAATTTTGTAATATTTATAAGCACTTACATAATTTTCTAGTATATTCAAAATAATTCAAAATTGTTTGGGCAGTGAAATGAGCCCATGAGATTTTTAATAACATTTAATATTATTTAAAGGTATGTTTGCCATGCCAAAAATCTAGATAAATACTTCTCCCTCAACCTTCTGGATAAGTATCTTCAGCTTAAGTCCCAGAAGAGTTGAAGTCAACTATTCAATCAAAATTGACGTTCAATGTCGACAAAATAATTAATTAAATAATCCATTTTTTAGCATTTGTATTTTGAAAATTTTGGATTTGTTTTATTAGAGCTATTTATTGCATCATTATTTCTATTATGACTTATTTCCTTTCAATTCTCTTGCTGCTTTATCTACATCATTGTATTCACTCAGATTTGTGTTAGATTGATTATATTTTGTTATGCTTAACTTGAGTTTGCTAAAAAGTCCAAGTGTAGGTATCATAACCCAACATTGACAAATTTTAAGAGTCGACACATCAATCATTGTGTATTTAAACATAAAATAATTGAACAAAAGGAACTTCAAAATGGTACGTTCAGGTAAGCAAGCTTCAGATTCTTACGCTTCTTGTGAGATTTTGCTTTCGAAACTTTCACAAATTGAATTATGGTTTGATGCGAGGTGGTGGATTCAGAAGCGCCAGCGGCATTTCTACCTTGAGAATACATGCCAGAAGTAGGAAAACCTGGCACTTGGTGAGTTCCCTCTTCCTCTGCATTATTAAAAATTTGAGATCCATCAAACGCGTAGCTCATAATAAGCTATGTAAAACTACAAGATTCAATATATCTTCCCTTTTATAGCTTGAACCGCCTATAAATGGGGATCTCAAGGGCGATAAGATACAAAAATTTGATTAGAAATTATGATAAATTATTTCATTTGTATGCAACCAAAATCGCAGCATTTCCAAATTCCTTTTAGAATGGAAAGAATAAATAAATAAATAACTCACTGTATAACAAGGCCGAGCCGACAAATGAGAGATAGATCAATGACATAGTAGAAAGCAGGAAAGTCCAGATTAAGCACCTTCGTCTCGCAACTCGAGAGAGCCTCCTCCCGCGGCGAGGCTGCGACGACTCGTTTATGGATTGGAACAGAGCCATCCTGTCATTAATTGTTTCCAGCTGTAAGACCTGTGAAGAGATCAGAAGCTCGAACCACAGCAAGAATCCATTTTTCGGGATTTGAAACAATTTCCTTGGAATCTTAAAGCGAAAGCGAATGGGATGAATTTGAGATTTGAGATTGGGGTTAGGGTTTAAGGAGAACAGAATTCATCGGATACCGACACCATCTATTCTAAGTGCGAAAAAAGAAGAAATGTTTTTGATTTATTTTCTCCAATAATTTTTATTTATATAGCCATGTTGGAGTACTCAACTATTAGAATCACATTGTGCTTCCATTGCTCACTCATATTTTCATTTTATTAGAGTTGTTAAATAATCTTTACAACCAAGACTTGAAAATAACATTTGTCCTCATCAATCAAGTGGAGAGGATTAATACCATGGATTCATGGGCTTGTGTCTCTTCATGCAACAACCTTATAATTATAAAAATTATTTTAAAATAAAAAATATGAAAATTTGAAATTTCTGATCTAGAGCGCTGCAACAATGAGAATTTTGGCGCTCTGATGCCCTAGTCTCGGGAAAAGTTGAAAATAATTCGACAAAGCAACGTCAGTTTTTTGAATGTGCGTCACTGTGATTTTTGAGCGTCGCAACGCTAGGCAATAAACAATATTTTTTTATGACTCTTAACTGATTATTGAAAGCACATATCTTAGAAACTATATAACATCGATGAAAATTGATGCAAAAATCTAAAATCAAGCTTCAAATAAGTAATTAAATTATCATTAAATCAATATATTATTTTGTTCTTAACCAACTATTTATTAAATAACAAATATATTTATGAATATAAATAAACAAATGAGTCAATATTAATATATGATAAAAATTTTAAATTTTATTTATATATATTTCTTTCTGTAATAAATAAATAATTTTTTTTAGGGAAAAATAAGGCTTTAGCTATTTTCCATTACAAAATAAAATAGGTACAAAATGAGAAGGACCCTAATATTCATCTCAAAAAGATCAGAAATAAGGGCATGCGCTGTATCAAAAACCACAATGCTCAAAATTGAAGGGAAAACATAAAAGAACTAAGAAAAAGATGAAGAGAAACTTAAGATAAAAAATTTCAAGAGAACTCAGAATGTCCTAAAACAGCTTTTTAATACCTAATTTGTTTGAATTAATTTTTTTTATTAAAAAACTGTTTTAAAAAATAATAAAAAATTTGCCCCAAAGAAATTATAATCTAGTGAGCACAACAAACCACTATAGCATGTCATTGAATAAAATTATTGTTATGTGCGGAGTCTGGAGGGCATTCGGAGACCAATAAAAATGCGCCACATCATCCCATTGCTCGGCACCGAGCTCGGCACCACTCTGTACCGCTCGATACTGAGCGCTTAATCGGACAGGAGAATCGTCTGGTGTCCGCACAGAATAATAGCTCCATTGAATAAGGGCATCTCCAACCGAGAAACCCATTTTCCACTCCAAAATGCAATAATTCATCTCTAATCAAATTCCATTCTTTCTCCTATTTCGCACGCTTCTCCGGCAAATCTCGTACACAAAAAATTAGCGTAGGTGAACCAATATTGACGTCGCACTGTTCATCTACCGAATATTGGCATGCAATTTAGTGTTGGAATGGAACGAATGGAGAACGGCATACCACCATATGCAGTTCAATTGGAGATGGTCTAATCCCATTGATTTCATTGAACTTCCTTCATTTCTTGATTTTCTAGTTTATGGCTCTTTTAATTTGATGCACAAATAAGGATCTGCGCAAAAAGAAATTCTCAAAGTTTCTGTTATTTCTTTCATGCCATGTACAGTAAATGCAGCAGCAAATAGCCATGAAATAAAGCCTTTTGACAGCAGGAGAGTAATATTCATTTTCGTCAACGCGATCAAATAACTGCAAAGAGTTTTGTCTTAATATCGCAAGTTATACTAAAGGAGAAATCACATTCAAAAACAGAGATGTTTGGACGATTCCTGAGAGGAGCAAAGGCAACAGCACTTATTGACCACAATCTCTCTAAAGGAAAGAACATCACTAGTTTTCAAATCATTCATAAGTGCAGAACGAAAAAATGCAAAGCATAGCTTTCTTGCCAAATGTATTTGTGCCAGTAAACAGGGCAATCATTGAGAAAAAAAGGATGATTTATCACAGACCAAAAATATAGGATCCATTTGGGACGATTTTTTTATTACTTCTTAAAGTAGTTTTTTTAATACAAAAATTAAAATTTATGTACTAAAAAACGACTTTAAGAAGCAGTAAGAAAGCCGTCCCAAATGAAGCCTTAATTTCATTGCCACGAGAAAACACTAATTCGCTAACAGCCACACTTGCCATGTTTACAGTCCAAAAGAAGTAGTTGCAGCTCCAGGTCAGTCTAGATGCTTCAAATTTTTTGCTAAATGCAAAAATATAGATATAACCTCAATCAATGAACTTCTGCTCTGAAATGGCGGGGCATTAGAATAAGTTCCATTAATTTGTTCATTATACCCAGTGCAATTTTTAAATTTTCTACTGCCTGCTTCAAAATCCATTCTCCAGTCAATGATATTTTCAAGTCACATAAAATCAAATCTTTATCACAAGGATTTCCAACGTTTGAAACTAATTCCAGGAAATTGCATTTACCAATTTAGATAGTATCAACTACAACAGATAACTTTTTTTTTTTTTTAATTCAGGTCAAATCAAATGTTAGCAAGATGAACAAAATGAATATACAGATTATTTGATAACAATCAAAAGAGATGAGGCTGATTATGGGGCAGCACCAGATTTGAAAACCAAGATTGAGTTATCCTCTAGTACTAAATGATTTTGATAGTTTTGAAGTTGATGCTGAATTCTTGCCAAGACAGTTGATCGACTTTGATGAATTAGGTAAACTGCAAATAACATAGGCAGCAACAGTTATGCAAGATAATACAGGCAGAGGAAATCAAATCTAGGTTTTAAGCATAGGTGACTTATGTTTCGTTTGGGACGACTTTTTTATTACTTCTTAAAATAGTTTTTTAGAATTTTTTTGTGCTAAAAAACTGCTTTCAGAAGCAGTAAGAAAGCCGTCCCAAACGAAGCCTTAATGTGTATTGTTTTGATGAGAATCTTGATGGAACAACAAGCAGTTTCTTGCAAGTTCTTACTTCAAAAACCATTCTTGCATTTGCATCCATAACCATACAAACGCACGATAATGATCGAGGTAAAGTGCAAAGCAAACAAGATCATGCGTGATGGTAAAATCGGAATTTCAAATAAAGAGCGAGAGAGTTTATCGAATTCTTTTTGGAAAAAAAGGTTAAATATTCCTTAATCCAATTCTCATCCGGTTGACTCAAAAAATTGACATGAATATATTCTCACATGATTCTAAAATGTATGCCAAGTGGCATGAAATGCCTCAAAAAGAGTAGCTTGAGTCTCAATATTTTGTTGTTATATCATAGATTTTACAACAAATATTTCATAAATATTTTGCTATTGAGTGTTTATTCAATAGAAAACTGTAGAGTAGACAAGGGTATACGTACCTTTGAGATGGAAGGCTCTTTCTGTGTTCAAAATTTTTTCTCATAGAAGCATGTATACAAGCTTCCCTACTGCAGAAAAAAAAAGGGATAGAGAATTTGATTAGTAAGCATAAGGAAAAAGGAAATTCAACTTGTAGTTGGAATTATAGTTGAAATTCTCCGTCAACTTTGTCAATATTACCTTTTAAGATACTCCAATTTCGCCTTCTTCATGAGGTTACCCTTTATATGAGACACTTTGTATGAGCTACTAACTGCAAAAGGCTTATTAGTTGAATACAATTGATGCATACAGTTATCATAAGGATTTTGTTTTGGAATTAAAAGCTTCTTTGTTGCATCCAACAGATTTCATGAAACAAAGAATTAAAAAAAAAAACGAATATCACTGGAGATGCGATTAAAATAAGCACCTGAAGAAAAATTTCTTTTATTGCCAGATGGTGGAATTTTTGAACAGATTTGTATTTGTTTGCTCTGTTTCTCTGCAAGGAGAAAAAGTTGTTTGAATTGGTTAGGCTTCTTAAGCTATAAACATATTTCATTAATTACTTAGAAAGCCCATGGTTGTCATTACTAAATAGGAGTGTATCCATCATGATCATTGGCAATGAATTTTGAAGTCAAACTCATCCAATAGTAATACTATAATTTTATATACTATTACTGAACTATAATAAAACATAAGGTAGACAGTTGAGGTCTTTTGTGAAATTAGAGAGGGGCACAATTGAGAAAATTCCTACATAGATATGTATCATAAGTTTTATCCTTAAATTGTCACATCTACGTGTATTAAAGAAACTTTGCCACCCCTAAATTTGACATAAACCCTTGTCCTCTTTTACTTTAAATTCTAATTGTCACTTACCGTGCTCGGAGAAATTATTCTGTGCGGGGACCGGATGCAGAACGCCGTCCGGAGACCAACCAGAATGGGCCACATCAGCAATATCGAGCCACGGTACCGAGCAGTACCGAACTGCGGTACCGAGCGAAGGGTGATATGGCGCATTCTGATTGGTCTCCGAATGATGTTCGTCATCCGCAAAGAATAATTATTCTTGTGCTTGGGGCATTCTAGGAAGCTACTGCGTGGAGAAAGTTATTGGCTTATGCCGTTTGAGCAACTGATCCATTCTAAAGATGATGACTATCAATGGAATGCAACATGATAAATGCTTGAATGAAATTTAAAGATGTTATATTCTTTGGCTTAGTTAGCCTTGAGAATGTTAAAAAAAATATGGCAGGGTGAATCCACTTCTCCTATTCCATCCCCTCTTTGGAATGTGTTCCCTTTCGCTCCCCTAGGGTTGTGAATATTTGTTTTCTCTCTCCTCTTGTAATAACCCTTGTTTAGTAATGCCCTGAATTGAATTTGGCAAAAATTAGTAAGTTTATTCATTATCTATTAAGATTCTATGAGATTTTAGAGTTTATTTTCATGTTGATTTCCTACAAAAAAAAGGGGTTTGTGGTTTGAATAAGAGAAGTGAAAATATGTTAAGTAGAAAATCCCTTGGGGGGGCGGGGCTTAGCACAACAAAGTTGGGAAGTAAAAATGCATCGCTGCCTCCATTATTGTTTAGGCTGGAGGAAGCGATGCATTATTGTTTAGGCAGTTTATTAATAGCCTATATGGACTAGCATTTGATTGGTACGCAGATTTACCCATTAATGATGTAGGCTGTGATGCATTATTATTTAGGTAGTTTGTTAGTAGCATCATGTCCATAGTAGCATTTGACTGGTATGCAACTTTATCCAATGGATCAATACACAATTTTACAAAACTGGAAAGCATGTTTATTAAGAGATTCACGGGTACCTAGCATCATGTTACAAAAGGTGATCTTGTTGGGGAGAGAGAAAAATCCGAAGAGAATTTGATTGATTATATACTTAGATAGAGAAACTTAATCATGAAGTATGAGCCTCAATTGCAGGAGCAACATGCAACTAAGATTTTGCTAAAAAATATTCATGGGCCAGTAACATTTCTTTTAAAAGATTTTATCATCAAAACCTTTGAAAATTTACTTAGTAAGGCTTTCACTCTTCAAAAAGCAGCTTCGCAACTCTCTTTCCTTAGTGATCCTATCTTCTGATGCAAAAAAGCTATAACCTCAGAAAATCTTAAAAAAGAAATATGGGTCAATTTCAACTGTAAATAAGTACAAGCAACCTATCTAAGTTCAAAGAAAAAGTTCTTCCTATAAGTCATATAGCCAACAATCACAGAGATAACAATATTATCAATCACAACAGTATCCGCGACAATAGTATCAACCTCAACAGTATCAGCCATAACAATATCAACAGTATTGGGGCTAGCAGCGACTTTATCATACTCAAAATGAGAAAAGAAAAAATAGAGAGAAATTCATAGCATTGGTTAACAAAATTATCCATTTAATAAGGAAGCTATAAAGAGGATATTCGAAAATCTCTTGAAGAAATCAAATTTCAAACTGCCTGAATCTAAGAAACTAGAGGAAGAGGAAGTGGGCAAGTCAGATCGACCCAACTATTGTCCATATTATCAAATGTTAGGTTATGAGATTGAGGACTGCACTACCATCAAGAAGTGGCTTAAAGGAATATGAAATCTAGAGCGGTAGTGATTCTCAAAGAGTACTTAGTGGATCAGGGCTAGGGATCAGCTGAGTGCGTAAATGGTGAGCCTATTGTTTCTATGTCTTTTACAATATTCGATGATACATTGATGCAATCTAAAAAATACTAGAATTGCAAATTAAATATTTCCTTTTCTTAAAACATAGACGAACATAGATAGAACAAAACAAAACTATTATATCCCACAATAGCTTAAACAAACACAATCACACCTTACAACTTCAAATAAAAAGGACACAATATCTTAGAACTTAAAATAAAACACGACGCAACGACACCTTACAACTTATCAAAGTTTTGAGAAGAAAGATATAGGTGGAATGAGAACCATGGAGAGAAGAAGAAGATAGAAGTCCAAGATGAAGTTTTAGAAGATAGGGAGGGAGAAGAAAATAACTCGCAAGTTATGTAAACCCGCATGTTGCACTTTCCAATATTCTTCACAATTCACTCTCCAAATTATCTTTCACAAACGGATTCAACCCCAATTTATAGGAGAAAGGAGGAGGAATAACATTCAATAGTTCACATAATTGTGCCGCAAAAAATAGCCTATAGGAGCCTATCAAGACAACCCATTTAATGTGAAGTTAAAGCACACAACATAGGAAACAACAAGAGGAAATTAGAACAACCAGTTGTAGGAAAAACCAATCCAAACAGGCACAGCAGAGAAACCAAGGAAGAGCATGAAATCGTACAACCACCATGGGAAGATAAAACAGCCATATGGGAAGACCAAACAACCACCAAAAAGCCCTCCAAAGCAACCCCTATATTGACTGCATCAATTCTCCGCTAATGGAAGAATCTCATCCCCTAATGAGAATGCCTCAGAACTTTCATGATGTTCTGAATGCGCTATTTCTGATGGGAGATCTTCCTCATGAATTGGAACTTCTTCTTGTTGATTAATTTGACTATCCTTTTTTTATTTTTATTTTTAAAGAAAAAGAAAGACTCGCACGATAACCTAAAATTATGTGATAGGAAACACTTGGATTTCCAAGTGTTTCTCAC